TCCTTTTCCCAATTCCCCTTTTCAGGTAGGAAGAGGTCTAGGTGACAGAACACCTGCCTGAATGGAGATGTTCTGGTTGTATCTGGTTAAGAGAAGAGGGTGTAATCCTGAGCAAATGTGCACAGACTGCTGATCTAGTGATTAGATTCTGCCTTAGCACAAAGACTTTCTATTATTCTCCAGTTTCATTACTAACATTCAATAGCTATTAGTAGAGTTAGCTGATATATATATATTTATTTTTTTTGAAATCACATTGTGACATGGACAGACTCGTCTTTTCATATCTGCCTAAGTCAGCACTGACAAAACAAAAAGAATTCCTTGCAAATACATGAAAAAATGGTTCATGAAAAGGGAGTATTGGGAAAAAGGCAAACAAAGCAATGCAAATTAAAGAAAAGAAATCCATTGGCATGTCTTAAAAGGCATGAACACTGTCAGCTAAAATTAGATCGTAATTAGTAAGGGATTTAGATTCTCTACACATAAGAAATGATACAACAACCTGCTAATTGGAGACAATACTATTCAAATTTTGCTGAGGAACAAAGCCTGGTACATAATTACGTGTAAGGAAAGGGAGGGTTACAAGAAATGTTGCAATCTAGTAGACTGAACCACAGCTGAGAAAAGGCTAAAACAATAACCTTGAAAACAAGCATTAATAAGCTGCTGTCACAGCACTGGGAGGATAAAGAAGAACGTGTTTGTTTGCACAGTGAGCCAAATTTTGCCTACAGGCAGATCTACCTTGCACAAGAGAGTCATACACATATGGTCATAGTATTTGTATTACATATGTGAAAGTGATAAATAGCTTTATCATTAACTACAGAGAAGCAAGACTTCACACCCTAGGACTGCATAGTACAAAAGGTCCTATAAAAATAACATTGTCATTTATAGCCTGTTTAGGAATAATTTTGACATCATGAGCTGGAAGAACTAATATGTGGTTGATTTTTCAAAAATTACAAATATGCATTTTTAAAATTATGACTATAGGAAACAAATGCTTAGATCTGGCTTCTGATGCCTGTGCTGCCATTAATAATTGCTAGTTGTCCCTGAGAGACAGAAACAGCAGGCAACCTCACCTAACAGTGATGTTGTAAAGAGAAATTCGTTAATACTGTATTTGTAGTGCTCTCGGATACCACAGTGAGAAGCAGCACAGAAAAGCCTATGAGGAAATTAATAATTCTGCATTCAGTGCAGGATCTGGCAGATGTAGAATAAAGCAAGCCTGGAGACATGCATTAAATATGAAGATTAAAAAAGATTCTAGCCATTACCAGCAGAAATAATACCCCCTGAATGAGCATTGTCTGCCTTAGCCATTAAGTGTTCGTCATATTCTCATTCAATACAAGCGAAAAACTTCTGATTAATGTGGTAACATTACAGAAAGTACCAGTCAGGTATTCTATGCAAAATACAGAATCTGATAATGTAATTAAATTCTATCATAAATATATGTTCTGGGACTAGTATTTCCTCATTTCCACATGCTTAATTTTGCCACTAAATAACACTCCCACAGTGCAGCAGTTATTAGCAAATGTACATTATCTCAGCACTTGGAGGCTTCTGTCACCACAGCTCTAGGTGTGTTTTGTGTTAGCGCAGTAAATCAATCCACAATTCAAGCTGCAGCTGCTAGGCTGCTTCTGTAATCAAGCTACTCTGGTTCACAGATAGCTCAAGAGTCAGGACAGCAAAGACATGGCAAAAAAAAAGGGTTAACAGTGGCGACAAAACTGCAGGTTAGGTTCACAGCTAGCTCAGGTATCTGTACCAACATTGCAACTGTAAGTTACTAATTTTATTTTCCTCTACCTCAGTTCAGTTCTGCTCTCCCAGCCACATAAGGCATTCTTTCTCTTACCCCATCAGCTCAAATCTGAAGTCAGATTTCAACTTTTTCCTGTATTAATCAGTAGGGATGGCTGCTGGAGTGGAAGGATGTGTAGGGAGGACTCCAGGATGCACCCCTGGCTTGCAAAGGGTCTACCAAAGCTGCTTGCTACAGTACTTCAGAAATGGGGAGAGGAAAGGGGGCTGTAACTTATCATGGTTCCTAGTATGAAAAAAACCACTGCATGAGGCAATATGGCTGACCAAGTATAGTTCTTCAAGCAACCACAAATAAACCCGTGCCAGTGTCTCAAGACTAAGACTTTTGCCTGGGCTACTGAAGTCAGAGCGGGCACACTACCTGAAGGCGCAGCGTGAGGTAGGTAACCACGAGCTTGGGAAATGCAGCATCCTTAAAGGCTCCTCAGCAGTGCATCAACATGTACATCCTGGGGCTGCCACCCAAATCATCCCCCATCCTGCCCCCAGGAACCAGCCTGTGGGCACAGCTCTGGGGTTCTGATCACCCAATCTGCTGCAAAGAAAGGCAAGGCTCTTCCACCTTCTCTGTGCAACAGGAAATGTCTCATGTTTAGGACAGCCCAAATTCAGACACTGCCAGTTCAGCCAAATGTGTTCTGGCTCTCCATATTGAGAGAGACTTGGCTGAGATATTTATATATTTACTGCTTGCTTTCCCATAAGAGGAACATTTGTATTACAAAAGGTGCATGGCAATAGTTTCCAAGGTAAATCTGACCAGTTGCATAGAAAAAAAATTAGTTATTTTCATGAATATACGTGTCCAAATGCTGATGCACAGTTCCCTTTCAAGGATTAATTCTGACTGATTGGTGAGGATTCAAGTGGCCAGTGCCTCACAAGCAAAGAGATCAATAATTTCAGCAGGCAGATCTTCCAGGATAGCACAGCAAAGCTAAATGAAAAGTTTGTCCTCAGCTAAGACTATGGTAGTAGGTAACAGTAATTCTTTCTCCAGGGGACATGAAAAAGGCTGATATAGATACATTTTCCATTTACTGTGTTATTAATATTACTGAACTAATGGAAATTGAGGTAGATTTTTTTTTTAAGCTAGCCTACTGGTTAGCTTCTAATGGACATAAGCAGGACATACCATGAATCTGCTGCTCGTACAAGGTCTGCTCATTTCAACATAAAATTAAGATAACTAAATCTGACAATGTTAAAACTAACTTCTCTTTCCAGGAATGCAGAACCAAATAAAGATTTACCAGCTGTTCTGGAGATAAAAACCAAACAACAAACCTAAATGCAGGTGAAAGACTGGCAACAGAGCTGGTAATCACTACATCATAATCAAGACATTCTAAAAAAAAATATCAGAATTCGTAGAAATAAGCAAACCAAAACATGGAATGGGGAAAAAAACAACTAATTGTGAGAAAATCAAGAAGTTATAATATTGATCTTTGAAAAAGGTCAACAGTACATAATGATAGCTATGATGACAGGATTCAAAGATGATGACAGGAAAACTCACAAAAATTACTACATAAGAGTGACTTGCTCCAATTCTTCGTAGCTCAGAGCACTCACATATATTGGTAACTTCATTTGAATATTCTAAAATTTCCTGAACAAGGCCTAAGGAAAACTGAAGCTAGTAAAATTGTAAAAGCCAATGTTCTGTTTGTTTGCTTGTTCAAAAAGCTCACAGGTCTGATTAATTCTCACATAAACTGAAGGAAGTGTTAATAAGAAACACGGCTCTCCTTACTAGCTTAATTTTTTGCTCATGTTTTTTTGAAAGAGGATAGTTTTTGATATTGAGTATTCGCAATAAATGACAGTCAAAGTATCTACTGCCAGGTAGATCAATATAAATGTAGAGGCCCTACCTCTCATCTCCTCTGACTGGTGGGAGCTTGGGACACTAGAACCACGGGGAAAAGAAAACATTTTTTCAAAGAAAGTGTCACTAACACTAATATTAAAAAAAGGTAATCCCTTACTTCACAGATGTCTGACAAAGCTGGTATATTCTTACTGGTTATCAAAGGATCGATATCACTTTTGGTTACGTAGCAGAAATAACCAAAGCCCTGGAATAGGCAGTGTCATGAAATGACAAGTCTCTGCAGTTACATTTAAATAACATAGCAGTCTTGATCAAAACATGATGACTTTAAAGGACCAGGACTTCCATTAGTAATTTCCTTTTACTTGCCCAGGCAGAAGATTACAAAGAATTTAAACAAATAAATACTGATTTATGGTGGTAAGGGGTGTTCTTTGCTCTTTACCACAGATGGATTACGTTAGGGTGCCACCACACATAGCAACTGCTTTGCTTAATTCAGTTTTTAGGATTCCCTTTAAGATCCATTGGGTAATCTGTGTCAAAAATGAACACCATCAAAATATAGAGGTTCTTTTTGCCCTTTTCAAAATGTATCCCACCCTTAAAATCATGCTTTTATCAGATTATAGAGATCATCAGTGTAATACTATGCAGGAGAAGCTTGTGCAACATAGTTAGACCTCCTAAGAGAATCTAGTTTGTTTCAGTATTTCTTAAACTCTCTTTGCTATTTTTTCACACAGTTTTACATAAAGCAAGTTTAGTCATGTGGTGCCAGTGTGTAATCCCTCTCTGGATAGGAATTTTAAGGCTCAAAACAACAATTCGGAGAGCAGGGACCTAAGAAATAAATACATGTAGCACAGAAAGCCTCGCCAGCTGGCTAAAACTGACTGATGGTCTATTTTTCAGTGCTTCAGAATAATCAGTACCATAAATGTTGTTTTATTAGTTTCTTTTGCCATTACTGAAAAAAGGAAGCTATCTTGTCCCACAAGGTATGACAGCAGGCTCCCAGGTTACACTGCCAACTGTTTGAACAGCTGTAATGAGTTTAATCATGGCCCTAATTACTGCACCACCTTTTAGACCCCTTTGCAAACTGCACACATCTCCAATTGCAGCAAGAGTTTCAGAATTTTTATAGCTATGAACCAGAGAAAGCTAAAGGATTATAGGGTAACAGTGCTAACCCAAGAGTGTGCGTTTTATACATCCTCTGAGTCTACTATTTAAGTAAAAGGAATATTACATGGCAGTCAATGGCATAACAACATAAAGACCTTGGTCTTACCCTTTGTTTTCAAGTCGTTTAATACCTTTGATTCCACGGGCAGTATGTCACTCACTAGTTTTATCTCAATATTTTGGGATGCCAGTTCAAGCAATTTTTCAAAAAGACGCTGACCCTAGGAAGAACATTAAAAGAAGAGGACGTAAGACACAGAATTGTTTAAACAGCACATCACCAAATTAAGATGCATGCTAAAATAAAAATATATTGTACAACTTGCTCCTTCCTCTTCCCAGACTGCAGTACTATTGATGACAGGTGACATGCAGAGAACGAAGTGTCCAGTTTTTTAATGCTGCATGAACATATTTTTACACTAACTTTCTTCTAAATAATTACATTCTGTTAAATCAGGATAAAAAGTGCAAGGAAAAGAGTTAATCACACTTCTTCTGTACCGAATGATTTTTTTTTTTTGTAAGTGGTTCTAACCATAGTACAATATAGTTTCAAGTGGTGCCAACGCTCACCTTTAGATGAGTTGTACCAGGAAGGAAAACAATAATGCTACTGCTTTTTCCACTGTTATAACTTTATTACTTAAGCCCTATTTATAACACAGAACAAAAAAAGAGAATCTCATACTGAACTAGAAATTCGTTAAAACAGAAATCAAGATATATGTCTCACATGAAAAATATTAAATCACTGCATTTTTCCACATCCAAGAAACAAAAAGTAGACCTTCCAATTGCACAGTAAATATTTAATTTTGAGATTCAATATTTTAACTTAAAGGAATATGCTTAGTTAGAAGCATCTAACTACAGGATGCCAAGAATTAAATATCCAATGTACCACTACTGTGCAGCATTACTACAACCACAGTTAGAGCCCGTTTCCTTACTGCCATTCCTACTACAGCAGGCATCAGTTATAACTAGTAGCCAAATACACAAAAACTTTGGGTTCGGTCAGATATCAAAATGCCTGCCCTACCTACGCAGCTCACTTGAGACTCAATATAATGCTGGCCCCAAGGTAAAGGTAAAACAAAAAAGCAAAAGTAATATCAACTTTTCACAGAACCACCTTAGAAAATTCTCCATATAGATTGTTACTTCTAAAGACTTTAAAAGTAACATTCTATTCCACAAAAATGGCCAATGCAAAAGCAGTATGGGGCGATACAACCTGACACAGCATGGACCATCAACACAGAGAGAAGCCCTTCACCCACATCACAACCAGAAGCAGCAGACAGGGGAGGGCCACCATGTAATGCCTGCATAGATCAACACTTCGAGCCTTGCTGGAAATTAAGCAGCCACAGAAATTAGCTCTTCACCCTGTCTACAGTACAGACCTACTTTTTAATATTCACTTATTTTGAATATATGTGGCAAAATAAGAATAACCATCCTCCTAAAAATAGTTTGCTCAAAATTCCAGAGCAGCCAGAGACTGCAGTGGGAACACAGAACGACTGTTTATGTTTTACTTTCATAATATATGCCTTGCTCAAATCCACAGCAAAGCTCCCTGCTCATCCTAGGGCTCACAGCAACTTCAGAGTCAACAAGATCCTGCCATAACAAAAGCATCAGACTCCAGCTAATGGAACAGGAAACCAAAAAGATGCTTTGCATGAAGCTCCAAATGCTTCTTGTACTCAGATGCAGCATTTCTTGAGGTGAAAAGGTGGTCTCATTTGTAAGAAATAACCTCTGTGATTTAACTTATACACCCCAGAGCCCACACTGAGTTGCTGCGTGAGTCATAGAATCATTTGGTTGAAAAAGACCTTTAAGATCATCACGTCCAACCATAACCTGTCCACTACTAAACCAGGTCTCTAAGCCCCTCCCCTCCCCACCTTTTAAATCCCTCCAGGGATGGTGACTCCACCACATCCCTGGGCAGCCCCTTCCAGTGCCTAATAACCTTTTCAATGAAGAATTTTTTCCTAATTTCCAATCTAAACCTCCCCTGGCACAACTTGAGGCCAAGTCAAGGAGTGTCTTCCCCTCCCATTCAACACGAAGCAAAAGGATCTTTAACTCTCACATCAGTGGCTAAGTTGGTTTTGATTTTTTTTAAGGAGAAGGGGGGCAGATGTTACCAGAGGTAAGAATTAATGAGGCAGGGAAAATTAAGGCATAAAAGGCTTGCATGACATAAATTTTTTATATATATATGTGCGTGTGTGTGTAGCTATATATCTAGAAACTGCTATTCAGAAAGGTTCTGTGTGTTGATTTAATTTACTAGGCAGAAAGACAACCTAAACAAAAAAACAAGGTGCCTCTGTTTATCTGTAAAACCTGATTTTGACTAGAAGCATAGGAAAAATCTGTAGCATACAAAAATAAACATGGAAAATACATTCACAAATTTGATGGCAAGTGATCCGCACTATCAATATGAATTAATGCATTAACTGATCTACTAATGAAATACTTGGAAAGTTAACATCTAAAGCTGATAAAATAATTTGTTTCAGGGGATGGTTCTTTGCATTTTTTTCCCCCCAAGGTAATTATTTTTAGATATTGTTACCATTTCACTTCTACTTGCACAAGGTTTTATTTACATATGATTTACAGAAGCTTTGATAAACAAGCCTAGACTTTCTCTAGCAATTTTAGTTCAGATAAAGAAAAAAAAAAAAGAACAGGGCAGCATTTCCTGAGTTCCACCTGATTTTACTGTGCCCTGATGTGACCAAGCCAGCATCCCTGAGGGACCACCTGGCTGTCTCATACTGGCCATGCTGCCAGCTGAACAGCCCATCCTACGGGAGAACACATCCCTTGGAGTGCAGCCCGGCATCCCAATGGAGACATCTTCTCCAAAAATACATCTCACTCCCCACCAGGGACACCACAAGCTGTGCATTTATAATATCCTTTTTTGCCCAATTATGGTGAAACCTCAAATTGATAAAACATTTAAAGCATCTTTAAGTAGTAATGGTTCAGAGTAGGAGTGTACTCAGCACAAATCCATGTCTTTATATGGGTATACGAACCCACCAGCTTGTGCCAGAACTGGAGAGAATTCCTTCCCTCTCATCCTCCCTCAGCAAGCGTTCACACACACACAAGGCTTAGTCTAGATGTTCTAAGCAACTATCAAAAATTCACAGCTTGCTTTTAAAATCCTATACGTACTATAGTGAAGTAGGGTACTGGATATTCTTCCTTCATTGTTAAAGAACCTGGCCTCCTTACTCATTAATATTAGTATGAAACTCAGTTTCTGTACTTTCTGACATGTTTACTTGCAATTTTACTGTTTCGTGCTACGAAAAGGAAAAAAGACGGGACAGAAGGTCTGAAGAGTTTTGTCACTGCTGTCAGCACACTCGAAACGCTGCTGCTGAATGCCAACCCTCGTGCTGTCATTCAGACCACAGTCTCTTTGCCAGACAATGTCAGGCTGCAGCGCGACTATGTGACAGTGATCAGAATCATTTCGATATACTCAGTTTGGGAGAAAGAATTAATTTTTATTATTAAAATAAGTTAGTTATCATTACCAAAAGGCCTCCAGATTGCCCCCAAAGCAATTTCTTAGCAGTCACTAGGCAGACTGATCCTGGTCTGTCTGATTTCCCTTGCCTGCTGTTGCTCTTTATCAGCATGCATTCCTCATTAAAAATAAAATAGGGGAGATATGAACACAAAAATACTGTATTTATTTAAGTACTCTAAAATTAAATTTTCAGTAACTTAGATTCCTACAGTTCAGATAAGATTTACCTTTTTGTTTCCACAGAAATAAAACCGGTTACTTCCAGAATTTTCTTGGGGATTTATTCGATTTAATTCTACTAATATTTTAAATAGCTGTCCTATGATCAAGCCTTTAGATATATCTATAAAACATCACTAAAATTATAGCATGTTGGCAGAAACCAATAGAGCAAACAAATCAAGAAACCCTAAATTTAACTCTGCCATTTAAAGCAGAACAGAGAAACTCAAACACTCTCCTCAAATTCTTCCAGCAAAATAGCTAACAAAAAGAGAGGGAATGTCAATTTTTGGAATTTCACTCAGAGCTTAAAAATGCTTTCACTTCAAAAACTCTGTTTTTATTTCTTTTCTATGCCTCAGTCTGTACTAGCTGCATCTGGAAATACCAGCACTTGAAGAGATGTCTGTGAAAAGATGTGCTTACAGAAAAGAAAATACTCTACAATCTCTATAGCTGACTTCTGCACTGTAACTGTGGCAAGATCAATAAACCACGCTGGTGTTAATCCTTATTTGTTAAACTTAAAATTAAATTTGTGAGGAAGGACTTGCTGGAACTATAAAAGGCAACTCTCAGTTAAAGTTTCTAAACACGGGATGAGCCAGAGGAAAGGAATTGTGAAAAATCATGAAATTGGCACGATCTTAAGCTCACCTCTCTCTTCACTGCAAATGAATTAAGAGCTATCCTCAACATGTCTGTTTCCATCGTCCTTCAACACTCTAAACAGCAGATTGCCACTGGAGAAGTCACATGTTCACGTTCCACAAAAAATCTCAAAGCCTCTGCATGACAACTGCCCTGCCAGCTTGAAAATGCACACAGGTGACAACACTAGGTCCCAAATAACACATGGTTTTCTTCTGAATGAGAAAAGCAAGTGTAGAAAGCTTAGTCGGGACTTTGCCAAGCAAATATTGCTTTACTTGAACATCTAAGCCATGGAAGCGCGCACAACATTGCAGCATCCTGTCTTTGCTCTCGAGACCCCAATTTCACCAGACTCGTGGACTCGGGCAGCTGAGCCCAGCAGTGGTGAGCTGGGCAGCTCAGTCAGCCAGGGCTGGTTATATATTCAGATGGACATGCAGGCATGTGTGTATGTGTGGGTATACATATGCATGTATGTGTGCATGTAACTACATAAACACATATACAGAGAACAAAGCTAAACTTAGCCACTAATTAAGAAAAAGCAATCTAGTCTACTCAGCTTTTCTCTTTCACAAATCCACGTCTGTTGAAACGCTCTTGTACAGAACCTAGCTTTGCAATGTGCCTTGAATATTCATAAAATGAAAATTGCTAGTTATAGAGCAGGATGTGGGTCCATATGGAAAATGGTAACGACCTTAGTTTCTGATAAAACAAGAATCATTCAAGGAACAACTAGAACTCCCTCACTAAGTGCCACAACACCTGGACACATCTGGCATCTCACCCCCTTAGCTTTCATAATGCTTCTGCCATTTTGGGGTGAATATCCCTGAACTCAAATTGTAAAGACACTTGACTCATATTTCCAAAACTTACTAGATTAAAATTATTGAATCTTCTCTGAAATTTCACTTTAATTTTACAAGTGGAGAAGGCAGACGTAACGATACAAGTTCTCTCCCTTCCCTTTCCCACACTAAGCTTGGTGTACATTCTCTGGGGCAAGGATTTGCTAAGAAATGCTGCCTCTCAGCAATTTCTTTAGCTACCAGACTGGCCAATAACACTGCCACATTTTAGGCTGAATAGACAAGCTCAACAGAAAGATCCATCAGCTGCTCAGCCCACACTGATGTACAAATGAGGAAATGACTGGAATATTAATTGCCTTTAAACATAAGTAATTACTCACTTTTGTAAGATGACTAGCAGGCAGACACAGATAACTAGAATAGAATATTATGAAAAATGTTTCACTTTTCTGGCTCTAACAGTGTATTTGAGGATGAAACAGCAAATCCACTTCTTGGATGTCTCTTCGTCCTTTCCCTGCTCTGACATTAGGCAATATCTTACAGTTTTTACTTTGCATAAGAATGTGAAACAGTGAATGAAGTTGATGCTTAACTACTGAAATCCCAATTTCCAGTTTGCTATTTTTGTCCTCTCTTTTGGATTTGTTAGGCTCCACTGGTTTCAAGGCAAATGACATGTTGAATTTTTTTCAGACAAAACATTTTTAAAAGATTCATGCACATACCAACTCATGCACATCCTAAAAACATCTAAGGCACTATCTCTTTGAATTCATCTGCTTGAATGACAGTACATGGGTTTGAAGTTTCTTGGGCAATAAATTTAAATAAAGTTCAGCTGCATAATTATATTGTGAAAAATCTCAATATTTTGATATTCAACAAATTTATTCACAAACCACATTCCAATATTTATAAGCATTCTAAAAAGAAGGGTTTGCACTACATTTTCCATTTGGCTGCTCACCTCAGATTTTCACTCTTTTAAATGGACACACAGCAGATTTATTCTGAAGAAACGTTAATGTATGCCATTCAACTCGGCTACAGGCTCTTTCAAAAGAAGTAGAACCCAGTTCATGACTGGAAAACAGAGGCTATTTCCAGTACTATCTTTAGTTGCTCAGAATACCACTCTTTGTCTATCATCTACCAAAAGGTTTTTTTGGTTTTTTTTTCTTTACTGCACAGCAACAACAGAGCTAGAGAGGAAAGTGAAGAGTTTATGACATAATATAATAAAGTTGATTCCTTACAGTTATCCGGCCGTCATTTTAACCCCATTTCATGTCAGCTGAGCTGCTTCTTTCACTAAAAAAACCCCATTTGGTGGAAAAGATGAGCTACTCTCAGCCTATCAATTCTTTGATAATTTCACAAGTGATGCTAAGCGCAAACCTGCCCTTATCATATTTCTAAGAGGACTGCTCTCAAGAATAAAGTGTCTGTTGGCAAAGCATCATTGTAATGCATGTCTGCCTCCTCCACTATGATTTATGATTTTCCTACTATTGCTCTTAATTGCAGAAGTCTTGAGCACCTCTTCCTCCCAAGCTTCATTTTGATAAGGTATGAGAAATCATCTGATACTACATTGTTCTTTTTAAAGTGCAATTCTATCCATTTATTTGGCTGCAGAATGAATCTACACATGCTTGCGGTTCATCAGCTGCACCAAACAGAAAATACGTACATAGATTTGTGGGTATTCCTAAATTACGGATGTGTTAATATAGGCACAATTTTGCAGGTTTCTTAAGATTACACAATGATGTCCTTTCCTAAGATGGAAGTGATATGAATATGTGTCAGATGTGTCCTCTAGCCCAAGCATGCCACCACTCTCAGAAAACTACTGTATTGGCAGGAAAATCCCCATACGAAAATGCTTTTTAGACTAACTACCCAAACAAATCGGTCTGCTACAGGGACTGGCTGTAGTTCTAGAAAAATTATCAGGGAAACAAGAAGAACAGATTGGTCAAGTCCCACCCTTCTGTTAGGCTAGAACATACCTGGCATGCTGATGGATGGCTGTGATTGAGGTCCCACTGGGAAGACACTATGTCAACAGACTTTTCAGCCATATTAAGCAAATTCATCCAGCCTTGGAAAAGAGACAAATGGGATGGTGCACTGTCTGAATAGTTGATCCCTTCAGGAATATTTTCCACAAGAGCAACCCTGAGAATAGATAAGGAAAAAATAACCACTTAGCAAAAGCACTTTTCTGTATTTAAAAGTTCCAAGTGTAAAGAATGTCAGGTTTGGGGCCTATGGTTCAACATCTGCTTCCAGAGGCTCTCAGCAGTGTGCCACCCCACTTTGATGTTGCTGACTGTCATGCTCCATGCTTCCCAAAACAATAAAATGCGGAAATGTCCTATTGTTAATGCAGCAAAGCCAATTAAGCAAAGTTCACTGCAACATGGAAAAGCTTACTTACAAAAACCTAAGTGGGAATCAGTCCTTAAGGTGAGGCTGGGAAGAATGAAACAATCTCTTCTTGCTCTGCCACTCTCATCTTTGCATTTAATTTCTTCTCTCTAAGCGACATGGCAAGACATATAATCCCCGGCATTCTCTTCAGTCTGCTTTAACAGCTGACATTTTATTACACTGCAGTCTCTATACATGAATTCTCCCTTTCCAACTGCTCTAAGCTACCTAATTTTTCTGCTTTTGTTTACCTGTGTAAGGCTCTAACTGGAATCCAGTGGTTAAGAAAAGAAGAATTATGCCCTTTTAATTTCCTGTTCTTTTTGGAAGGCGCCTTGATTATAGTCGATAGTATTCAAAACTCTTGCACATTACATTACATACATTGACATGGATCCAAGAAGCTAAACAAATGTAGTAAACTGATAGTTCAAAATATGCTCCCTTGCTTCCGGGAATGATGTTTCATTCAGTGTACTGCCTCCCTGCTAGATTGCCTTAAATTGCAGCAGGTAAAGCTTCTCTCTACACTCAATAGAGGCATCTTAAAAATAAATGCAAATCAAATAAGTTTCCCAATTTTGCCTTTAGGTAAACAGATGAAATTTTCAACTTATCCAAGTGGCACTTCTGTAAGTGCTCCCAACACCTACAGCATTTACTGTGAAGCACAGCAACCAGATTTAGAAAAGCTGTAGTAGAGACTCGGAGAATACTCCTTCTCATTGTATATAAATACATCAAGTATTAGCAGCCTGTTTCTATACTTATTAATAGCATTATCAATTCCAGCAATATGAATACAATTTGTAAACTTTTTTTTTTTAAAGTAAAAAATACAGACCTCTAGAGTAAATGAGAATTGTACACTTTTTGAATGTTAGAAAAACATATTGTTTCAGTATCGACTATTAATTCAGTTCACCCTGCAGGGTCACATGGAAACTTTACAGCTTTTTCAGACTATCAACCATGTTTGTAAAGTTAACCCATTAAAAGACTGAAGATTAGTACTCTTTAACAGTGTAAAGAAAACCCAGTAAGAATTATGATAAAGTAAACCTGGGGTAATTATTTTTTTACTCTCTCGGCCTGTTAAAAATCCTCTCCAAAACCAGAACAAGCCCAGCTCCTCCTTTCATTAAAGATTAAAGTAAGTTTGCTTATTCCCTAAAATCCATCAAACAACATACATATCACTAAGCTACAATTGCTGATGACGTTCTCCACAACATCCTGTGAACACGCTGTTCTATAGATTAACATTAAACTTAACTGCGTTACAGTAACAGAGTTGTAACACCAGTAAATTGACTGTAACAAGTTAAAACACAACTTGATTTTTTATTGTCTTCAAAGTATACTTTATTCTAAAGCATTCCACCTACCTTGTTCATGAATTTTACAAAATAACTAGAACCCTAAAAATTGAGTATTCTTATCAGTCTACTAGCAATGTCATACCTTAAAAATGAAACTCTTTTACTCTAACATTTAAGGTTTTAGACTTATTTCTGCTGCATCTGTTACAGAACTTAATAAAATTTTTGTTAGACCTCTTAAAAGCCTGGTTAATTCTTTTTCAATAGTTAACATTACTGATCATATTGGGGCTCTTAGCGATGTCCAGAGCTGTTTCAGAGAGCTATAGGATGGCCACCTTCAAAAAGGAAGGAATTTCATATCAAACAATTATTGAAAAAATAATATATCAAATGTGGTTCTGAACTGAACTGCTGTCTCACTGGAAAGCATTAGCTTAACTACCATTCTTCCTATCTCAGTCTTTGGCAAGTTGAAAGCTGCCAAAAAGGTAACACAAAGTCACAGAAGGGCTGAAATGATCTGGAGAACATGTAGGTCAACCCTACATGTCAAAGCAGGGTCAATGAGCGCAGGTTGCTAAGGACATTGTCCAGTCAGGTTTTGAATAGCTCCAGTATCTCCAAGTCCAAGAAGCTTAACATGTATTTGAAATTAGGGCCCTGATGCAGCAAAACACTTACATGCTTATCTCTGATGCACTGACTTCACATTATTCAGGTACAAAGTAGGGGAAAATGCTGTATCTACACATTATAAACCCAGATTCCAGAAGTCACCAGAAGCTATGCCTTGAAGTGTAGTGCAGGAAAAGCTGTGGATGCGGGTCATTGCTCTATAGATACATTTGGGTGCAGATACCATCAAGATATGTAAACAAGTTGGGCTTTTCCTCCTGTTCCACAGGTTAAAACCATTTACTTATTCAAAGAAACCAGCAAGGCAAAGTTGCTGGGTAAAATGAAAGGCACCTCACTCTTAAAAGGGCTCTTGTGAGGGACAAGGTAGCTCTTGGTAAGGAAGTCTGTCCTGACCATTGGGCTGAACTTGCTCTTCACAAGGAGATCAGCTCCCAACTTTTCAATCCGCAAGTGACAGCACTAGCATTTAATAAGGGATGTAACTATGCAGCTCCTGCTGTTTTAGAATTTGATTTAGTAGTAGAAGCCAAATGCACTCCAGTTAGTAAAACTGTTGTTCAGAACAGATATTATCTGTTAATATATTTTCTAGCCTTTTGTTTAACCAATACTCAGTACTTAGTGTCCTTTAGCAGACAAAGACATTTCATCTAGCTAGGGCACTACTTAAAAGTGGTGTTTTCAGAGCTTAGATTTTCCTTTAATAGTGAACTGATTCTGCCAACCTCCCCTCAATATATCCCCCTACTCAAAAACTGAACAACAATCTTAAAAGGAAAAAAAGAAAAAAAGGAAAAACAATCCAGCTCAATCACCAAGTTTCTAAACAAAGTGATTTTGCCTTCATAACTTTCCCTTTTCCTTTGGCACAATAGCAAAGTTCAGTGCTTAGTCAAGGAGAGTTTTGTTAAACTTTCTGCGCAAAAGTTTGAGCTTGCAAAGCCCCAATTCCATCAATAAAATCTAAATGTAGCTCTCATTTTTGTTCCAATATGACCCACAGAGAGGTTTCTAAAATATGGCATAACAAAAACTTCCAGGAGAGAAGGTCATTCACGGACCTTGAGGAAAATCACACATAATGACATAATTTATTCTACAAAAATGGCATATTAACAAAGCAAAACAGAACAAACGCAAGAAGTTGATTAAAACAGACTTTTCTTACGCTCAAAATCATTAACAGAAAATTTTACACCTGTTGAATGAGATGCCCTCCCCTCCTCCGATTCCCTGGTGCTCTAAGTATTTCATCTGATTAACGCCAACATAGGCAAGCCTCCACAGTTTGATAGCTGAATACTCTCAAACCTACCTCACACAGACTGAGAAACCAGAAAGTGATGTACTGTGACTTCTGTGAATTCGAGAGAGACACGGGGGTCAGAGCTGAGAGTCACGCTCCTCTAAGCTAACAGGAATGTGGTGAGCAGTATAATGGTATTTAATGCCTACCAAAGAATAGACTTTGACCTAAATAATAAGACTCTTCTGAGCTCAGCTACATGACTTGCATTTAGTATTTTCAAGTGAATTCTGTCCCAGCTAAGGATTCTTAATCTTGGACAGACCTTTGATCAGACAGCGAGAAGGTTTGTTTGATCTCACATAATTTTTTTTTTGTCTGAAGGAAACTGAAATAATCTTAATTAAGCATCTGGGTTAGAGGAGAAAGAAGGCTAGGGCAGTGAAAATAGGCACAGTCTGTATGTCTGTCCCTTGAATAAACTTGGGGTTAATGGCAAAAATTTATAGCTCTGTTGAAAAGTTTAGCTGTAATGATCACACAGTTCTTGTAATAGCTCAAACTTTACACATTAAAATGACAAGCTGTAGAATATTATGCACTCCATTTTATCTCAATCCAGAGTAATACATTAAAGAAAATCCAGGACATATGCACCTGAGTGTCTCTGCAACATCTGAATTTACTCACCATTAAAGGGAAGAAATGTGATAAGAAAATACTGTGATGATTTGTATGATCAATAAAAAAAATGAAAGATGAGCAAATGCCATCTTTGTCATAAGGCTGCTGAATTTCAGATAAGGAAGAGGCAAAGAGGAGTAGGCAAAAAAAAAAAAAGAAAAAAAAGAAAAACAAAAAGGGGGGACTAGGAAAGGTGTGTAAGTCCTGCCCCTGTACCAGGGTCCTAGTTAAATATTCCCTCGTGACTCCTCTCTCTTTCTTAATCCAGAAGCTCTGGAACCACCAACCCCTGCCCTGAAGGACCACAGCTCCTCAGAGTTTCAGCTCTTCCATTGTCATAAACCCAGAGTCTTAATATCCATTCAAAACCTACTATCTTTCTCAGAGCAGTGCTTTCAGTTGTGGCCTTCACCAGGTCACCTTCAAGACCTCCACTTTCTTCTACATCATTTCACTCCTACCACTCTTCTCCCTCAGATCCATTCAGTAGCTATCATGCTGGCCAAGACCATCTTCTCGTTAGCTCCTCAACAGAACCACAGCTCCAGCTCTTGTTTCTAAAAGGGATTAAGAAATATCCTTCTAACTCTTGATTGTCTTTATATTCATAATCTGCCTGGTTATCATCTGGAAGATAATGGTGACCAGTCACAAGATACGAGTAGAGAAAGATAAAAACTTGTTGTATAGGAGGTCCAACGAGGTGGTCTAAAGCAGATTTCCTACCTTCCCTGTCCCTTGACATGTGAATTGCAACCTAGCAGCATAAAAGGGGAGGGTTGATGGTAGGCGTGTAAATGGGACCCCTGGACTGTTGTGTTGGAGCACACAATGAGATAGAACCGCGGCTA